TCAGGATACGGTTTACTTGGGCAAAAATCAAAGCTGCTATTAATTCAGGTAAAAACACAGAAAACCTCCACAACACGACGTCTCAACCTACTACTTTGAGAAGGTAAATGCCAATGCCTGTGATAATTAGGTAGCAGTTCGAGATCTCCCTCAGCATGAAAACTACCTTAGACAAACAAAGATGGATGAAAGAACAGAACGAGATCAGAAGCGTTTAAGACCATAAAAGGTAGTGACTATCTACCCTTTTTTCCCATGGATTGAAGCTGAACCAGGACCCTTCGACGAAGTCTTATTCTGAGGCGTAAAGGGGATGATCTGATGGCTTCAGTACGACGTTATCAATCAGGAGGGATACTTGAACACAACGGATTCCTCGATTTGTGCTAGCATAGTGTAGAGCTCATTGAACAACAACGTTAACTTCAACTTCAGGCGAAATCTGTCTCAAATTGAATGGTTCATCCAACGTTGATCTCTTATCCAACAACTTTCCGTCAAAAGCAAGGGAAGTTAATAGAAACCATGTAGCGTCATTCACGGTTCCTATTCAAAGACTGTGGAAGTCGATAAGGTTGATTCACTCCGGTTGTAGCGATAACTGCGGCTCCGGCGCCTCAAAGGAAGTTCAACCTCCCTTGGATACACGGGGTGGGAGTTGTGGAAGAGAATGTATTTCTTAATGGGCTTCATTTCTGCAGAGTCTATTGTTCCAAATTAGATTAAACTGAATACAGGTGAGTTGGCCATCTTCATTAGCGATAATAATATGACTGATAAAAAATGAGGTGTCAAGTATTCACTTCAGTTAATCTGGACACCTTACAGTACTGTTTCTCATTTCATCTATGAAGATAGGAACGCCGAACGTNATGAATGTGATACGCTTTTCTCCCCTTCACTTCTTCCTCATCCGACACGGTCGGATGAGATGGGCAAGTACCACATACTCATGGTCCGAGGATCGAAGCCCTTACCACTAATCGCTTGAGCAATCCAAGCCTTCCACCCCCTTAGGTAGATTAATTAAACCGAGACTCATCTGGGAGGATAAAATTTTGACTCGAACATCGGTATGTCCCCAGACCATTCTATCGGGTAAAACGCCTCTACGATTCTGAATGGAAGATGAATGCAGAGCTGCATCAAAAAAATTGAAAAGAGGTGCATTCACCTTGAGGTCGAATAAGGTCAGGATGTACTTCAGCCATTGCAAACAATGCTAGGTGCTCATTGAGTGTGAAGGCCAGTACTGTAGCTAGAAGACAGAAATAGCCATTTACACGAGAAAACTGAGTTCCCATTTGTTTAGAGAATATGAAAAGTTTATGTACCTTTCTCTATTGCCTGTAACCCCACTATTCTAAAAGCTACGCCATCACTGCATACCAACAGAAAAACGGGCTTTGTTGACGCGGCTGCCAGCATCGTATATCACACGGAAGAAGCGTTTTTTTGACTTTGTCGCAGAATCGTTCACCATTTTGGAATACAGATTTGAGATAAGCGTTTGAAGACCCATCCATACTACTTATATGTAATATATTGGGTGGCCTCTATGACCCAGTACTTTCCACTACTAAAAAGATTGATTTTGTGTTTTTCATTGCTAATTTTTGCGGCAGTTTGCGGCACTAAACTCACCACAACACATTAGTCTTGCACCAGAAATAACCACGTTATCGTAGTACAAATCGAACAGCCGCTTAGTATAATTTCTGTCGAAGCATACAGCTTAAGAAGCTGCAGGGTAAATATCTTCGGGGACACAAAATTTCGGTCATGACTCCGTATCGTCACCGTTACTGTGAATGGTTGGCCCTTTGGGAACCTAATGAAAATTGAAGGAGAGGGGAGTCAAGCAGAAGTTGCCTCGGACTGCCTGTAGGACTTTTAGTGGGAAATCGAAAAATGAGTCGACAACTCAGTGTTATGATGGGAACGCTTCCCATTCATTTTGAGTTTTTAAGAGTGAGCCATGAAAAAAGTATGTGAAAGATTGGTACATCCTTAGAACAGAGGATTCTAATAGCTAATGTACAATTCTGAGGAACCCAGCAACCTTCTTCCTATCGCGATTCCGAATAAAGGAAGCTGTGGTAGAAAGTGGCTGAAAAAACGTCCGGGTGTTGTATGTAGTTAATTGAAGTTGCAGAGTTTCCGATTGATCGAAATCCCACCTGGTTCCTTTAACTTCTTGAATCCTGGGCGTAACAACCTCCCAATCGTGGTTGGAGATTATGGTATAGCGGGGCATGGTATAGCCGTTTTGGTCTATCAACGTGTAGTATTAGACCTATGTGAAGAGGGGCATCAACCGGAAACGTCCGAATGTTCAAAAAATGCAATAACCTCATATACAAGGATGATCCGATGTGCTCAGCTAACAATTCCAGTGTCAGTATTATCGATGTCTTTGAAAGCCTCGATTACATCGCCAGTAGAAATTCCAGTTGTAATTGGTAGTTAATTGCTCTGCTACAAATCCGCACGCGCTCGGACTACATAGATACCAATAACCTACTAAGGAAGCAGAAAACGTCCGGCTACGCTATTGCTACGCCCCTCCACTTTTGAAGGCAGGGTTCACGATAAAAATGGTTACTGTATTCTTCCCTTAGGAATGCTCAGTGGCCCCCATCGGTGGTAGAAGGGTCCCTCTCGCTCCTAAAATCTCGACGGTTAGGGCATAGTGAAAGCCCTGATGCTGTTTTGATTCGCTTTCCCGTCTTTCGGTCGATGTCACGTCAGACGAGTGTCGAGACAATACAGATTGCGAATATTCGTTCTATGACCCACACACAATCAGCTGATCGCCGACTGTCTCATGCTCTCGTGACCATGTTTTTATCCCATTCTTTTTTCCTCTGTTATTCTTTTGCTGCCGTGATGCCTTTTTTAATTTCCTACCCCAAGAGGCTGAAAAAGGTGAGCTATTTTTGCTGTAACTAAGGTTTTTCTGTTTACTTATGCTTATAAACGGATCAATTTTTGTTTACCGTAGTCAGATATTTGCCCCAGCACGCACACGTATGCAATGATGCGTTGTGCGTAGCTCGTCCAAACGCCCCACTCTTCTTCATTTTTCTGGTCTCATTCTCTCCGGCCCCCTTTTTAACTAGTTTTCGAAGCCTTTTTTCACCTTCGAACCACCGATCCACGCAGTTCCTCCGCCTCCATCGCACTATTTTGCATCCTATCTTCCATTTTTCGTCGTAATCTGGGTTACCTAAAATTATCGTGAACTGTGCCTTTAACTCCCGCCGTCATCGTCGTCACCTGAAGTCATCCAAGTTATTTGGCTCTGTTTTCGATACAGTTACCTGAGATGTAATCGGCTTGCTTGGGAACAGACTCGCGAAATTCCTGCAGTAGTGGGAGAATTGCGGTCACGTTAACCGATCTTGGGTTGAGGGAGTTGGTTTTAGGATTTCAAAATGCAAGGAAGAACTTTAGTACTATTCATTGAGCGGTTCTGGTGTATGAGTGGCGGAGAAACGGTGATCTGTGACTGTTTCACTTTACTCAATCGGTTTGGGATGGAGTACGGCATTAAATAAACTCAATCTAGGAGTTGAGATCAAAGGAAACATTTCTAGGTCCTCAACAATTCCTCAGTTTTACACGACCCACACCAACTTTTTTGTGAGATCTTACCCCCACATCAATTTGTGATGGTCTGAGAGACTTGCACGACTCAGCACCCTCCATTTCCCGGAAGTTAGAAGCGGGCAAGGAAGTGAAGGAACTTGCTAAATACTGGGCACTAAAGAAGGTGCTGCGGGGCAAATAGGTTCCATTGGCTCGCGATTCGTTCTGAAAAGATGCTTATGCTCAAATTTGTTCGGAAAACTTTTATTTCTGGGTTAAATGTTCCTCTATCGACCACATATTCGATAATGTGACCGCGCAAAATGTCCCTCGCCAAGAGCAATGACGTTTTGGGGCATTTTGCCCAGTGAAAGATTCTGTCCCTGATTGGCTTTTGGATAAGCGACAGCAGTTCTTCTCTTTTGGGCGCTCCTGACGTAGACCCTCTGGGAGCAATTTATCTCAGTCGTTTCGAACAAGTGACGGTCGTTAACTATCGAAACAGCGCGGAGGACATAATGTGATGGATGGGGAGAAAATAGCATGGTGGGAAAGGCGCAGACGGGAATACTACAAATGGAAGGAAACTTGGCACTCTCAAAAGAGTACTGCAGAGAAAATATGGAAACGTGGTTTGCATTTTTGATGGGGAAGAATGGTTTCCCTTGAGATTCTGAGAAACTAGTAGCCGAATGCAGCCACTGGGGTGGCATCGAATATGTTCCCATCAAATCTCCATGATCTAGAAACCCGTGTTGCTCATTGCCCCACTTGGAATCAGACTCAGAATCAGATTGGAGAAATAGTACTATGGATCCAACTCGGTCCAATAATACCAGTGCTGCACGATCGGTAACAATCAAGTCACAGTGATAGAATGAATCATTCTATCAGTAATGGCTAACGAACAGCTTAGGAAAGAAAACAACCATTTTTTTGTGAAATGTGTGGTAGACCATGGATGTAAATCCGGCAGACGAATTACCCAGTTTCCACAATAACAAGCCCCCTGTGGTGAGACAGTTGAAAGGCAACTTTGTTCTCCTTTTTCAGTAGGTCCACAAAGAGTGAGTGGTAGACAATTGGGACATATGCGATCCTCTATCTTCTCAAGCAATTATCAATAAATAACTAGAAACCGGGAGAAAAGTAGGCCTCTGTCAAATCACTCCCTCCCACAACATTCTTATGGGGTGTCGTCCGCGAGATTTTGGTTAAAGGCAGTAAGAATGACAAAAATGGGTGTAGGACATTTGAGTTACCATTTCACCGTATTCAATGACTGTGCAGTTGAAAATACCAATATGGAAAAAATCTTTTGAATTTGACGCTCTGTAGATTCACATATTACAAAGAACATAAACCAGTGCACTCTAGCTAGATCGTTATAAATATGAAGTTTTCTATTTTCAAGCAACGCCGATGCAATGTTTCCCCTCCGTATGCTGTGAAGCCTGAAGGACCTGGAGCAGTTGAAACCTATGTTCAGTTCAAGGGCTAGAATTTGCAAATAGTTTGCCTCCTGACCGATTATTTTCTCTCAATGGGCCTTCCAGCTTCGGCACATTACACCAGGGCTCAAACACTTAGCGAAGAAATCCGTAAAGCTCACCGGTCTACTTTGAACAGGAGGATACGGTGCATCCTGTTTTGTGAATTGCACCACATCTCGTCGGTCTTGTCGCGAATCAATGGACGATCGAAGGTACGCAAACGTATTACAAAAGTCCTCTTCACATTTGCACACCTACAACGGTCACTCATTACTATTGGAACCCTGGTGAAGGTTTTGCAATCCCCAACACAATTCCGCCCACAGTAGAGCTGGCGGAACTTCTCCTAGGGCCCTGAATAAGTTATTTTCTGCAATTTGGTGAATTTGACTCTGGAATACCATATAATCAAAGTAATACGTCTCAAGCACGGGCATATACGACAACGACAACGGCAAACTCCCCTCACGACGCGAGAGAAATCACGAAATCACTTCAAGCTGTCATTACCTCCTGCCAATTGTCAATTCGTTCCTCGCAGTGAGCGTTACCACCACTCAAGTACGGTATTTCGCCAGCCGATCCGCAGTGTTGGCGCAATTTCGGCGTATCTCCTGGAAATTAGTTGGCTTTATGGTTCCGCTGCTGAGAAATTTTGCAAATAGGCTTGAATGGTCATTTACCGGTAGTCTCAATATTCCATTACTAAAGCTTCTGACTGGTTTGAAATTTTTGGTCTGTCCTCCTCTAGGAAACTACTAGCTTTTCGATATCAATGCAGTAATGTTGTAGTAACACAGGCCTTACGATACTCACTTAGCATCTTCAAAGTCACCCTGCGACATACCAGGGCTAAACAATTCTGAATTTTGAAAGAATTTTTGTGGCGTGTTCGGAGGCAAATCCTAGTGGGAGGGAGAATTCATGGAAAAAATATATTACCAGCGGGTTCATGGTAAGTCCGTTCAGTCGTGGTAACCTATTGTGAGGCTACTATGTTGATTACAGTTGCCTGCCACCATTTACAGTACTGTTTCGACGAATTCTTCGCCACTTAGAGGCACAAATAAAAATGGTTTCTAAGTTTTTCTACTAAGAAAAGTCTCTGGTCTCCTAGGATGTCATATGGGCGTTGTCATGTCTAAAAACGGCTTAGAAGAGAGCAACAAGGGCTCAAAAATTAACTTCTCCCAATACTCATTCAAGAAGATGCAGGCACAGGCACACTGTAGCTCTTTACGCAGTTGCACATGACTGAAATCTCGTCCAAATACTCCTTACGTCGCATAATCTTGCACAATCCCCGTAAATCAGCCATCACCTTAGATGCACTATTCTAGACCAACACATGCTTTATTCGACTGAAAAGGGTGCTTCAATATTATCGTTTAGCGTGCCTATGCGATTATGCCACAACTATGCCCCATTCATCGTTTTAGAGCTCTTCATCTTCGATGTATCGCAGATAAAGGGTGCCAAGGTGATGAACGAACTTAGTTTGAGCTGTCTACATCAGTTGAACTTATAGTCCAGGACTCCCATCCATGATGGTTAGCGTCTGTATGCAGTAACCAACTGATCCACGGGAGCTGAAGAAGTGGTGAAATAAAGAACACTCTTCATTGAACTAATCTAGCAAATAAGCAGGAATTTGGGCACCTTCCCTTAGTTGCGATCTCGATCTCCTCCTTATGAAATGGCGCTTATAAGCACTTCCTACGGGTGGGAACAAGCAACTCGCCCCAACAATTTGCAAACTTCCTAGCGTAGTGGCATTCCTTTGTAATTCCTATGAGATGATGATGTATGATCCGTTCTACCGTAGCTATCTGATTGCCCATTCTCTATCCTTTCAATTCGGGACGTCGTACTAATTCATGACCGCTTTGACCGATGATTATCCCGCCTTTTGGTTTATGCGTGCGGTCGCCTTGGCTTGTAAGCTACTCAACCCTCACCACTTCTTGAAGGAAAACGAAATTCTTGCCAATATAACACTTCATTGCTTCTTCGTCTAGAGCGCCTTTTCAAACGTTTGACTATCGACGAAAGCTTCCATGATATCTCTTGCCAGCCCCTCTTCCACCTCCGTCTCTTTCCCTGCAAATACTAAGAGCAAGTCGAACGGAGCGAATATCATGCAATGCTGCCTCCTCTAATCGAATCGCTCCATGTCTGCTTGTCGTTGAGGGAGAAGTCGAATCGACGCCAACCAATGAAGACTTCAAGTCGTACTTTGGGTTCGCATCTTATAAGTTGGCCGAGTACGGGTACGACGAGGAGCAAGATGGACGAAAGGTAGAGCACGAGCGAATTCGTCGATTCAAACTGTTGGTACAGATCGGTACGTCACGACAGTACATGGTGGTGGAGAGCTGAACCGACCCAAAAGAAAGATCAACAAGTTGACCAGACGTAGTTGCCTTTGTTCATGGTCAGCTGGGCGGCCAAAGGCTAGTGTTTGGGGGGCTCACGATGATAAGGCTCACTCTGCTTATCTTTTGATTGATGCCTAGGAATAAGGAAAAGAAGGGTCAGCTCTCCCGGATGTTCTCTAGAATGTCACAGCGCAACAGCTCTGGGAAAGTGCCAGAAGGTTCTCATGATGTTCTCAACAGGCAGAAGAGTATCAATTACCCAACCTGTTTGTTATTCAGTTCTTGCCTTTCAGAAATAGCCTTCATGGAGTTGTGGTTAGTCATCAACGATCGGATAATGACTTAGCAAAAACGTAAGAGGCAGCTGCCAGTGCGGATTTAGCTCATCTTATGGGTGATCGCAGGGGGATTATTCCCTTCAAGCTCATGACTTTCGATCTCGAAAAGAAGTTTGCCTTTATCTCGAAGCATGGAAACACTGCTAAAAAGACTTTTGAGATATTCCTATCTTCCATAATAGGTGTGAAAGAGAAGATTACGTTGCCCTCCAAAAGGGTTAACGTATGCCGAGTTCTTTATCTGTTCAGAACAAGGATTAGCAAAAGGACAGGAAGTGTCGTTCCGACTTTGCAGAGGCTGCTGAACGTTGTACTCGCTCATCAAATCTGTGTCCCTCAGCGGTTGATTGAGTTGGTGTTCCAATAGACGGAACATAATTGGATCAACTAACAGGAATGTGACATTGTCCAAATGCAACAATGCATCGGAACGTCTACGACTCATGAACTACCTCCACCTTTATCTAAAGAGTAATCCTTGAGATTATAAAGATTGAGTCGCATTTTCAACAAGCTGAGTTCTACTCAACAAGAGACACAGAAGCTCAGTGCGAAGCCACCAATGCAGAGATAAAAAATGAACTAAGAAGAGTAAAAAAGGACGTGAATTGAAAGTTCGCCTTCTCCCATTTCCCACCACGCCGTCTCCGGTTCAGGCATAATCTCAATGGTGCATCGAGACCCCATCATCTCCACAGTAATCTGATGTGTTTGACTGTTACAGTATGACGTTGGCAATCTAGGAAGAACCTATGGCACTCGTAGTGTAATACAGCAACCAAATTAACAGTAAGAAACGATGGAGAGCTGATCACCGTCTTCAAATCACATATCAGTTAAAGCAGTAGCGCAGCCTTTCATGAAAGCGTAAGGCTTTGAAGCATCAGAATGGCTAAGGCGAATACGGCTAAGGTTGAATGGAACGCTGTCTTTCCTGTAGGTGATAAGTTACATGGCGTTTACTCACGATCAGTCAAATGCCTTTTGGGGAAATGCTCTGGCGTAGCACTCTCGTTGTCGTTTGAAAACTAAAAATCCTTGTGGAATAGACTTAGTGCAAGAACGGGAGTGACAGCATTTGGGATTAGCTCGTCTTCACTCGTCATGCTTCATGACTCAGCTGCACTTTGGGAAGCTTTTAGGGTAAGGTCAGAGGTGGTTCACGATGACATTCGAACAGGGCAAAATCGAGAGAAATAGCATCAATCTAAGCAAAACTGATGGAAACTAAATTTTGTAAAATTTTTTTTCTTAGAGACGATTTCCTTTTTTTNTTTTTTTGAAGGCCCAGAAGGTCTTACTTCAATGTTATACAGATCTGTAGGGGATCTGTTATACAGACCAGTAGTATGAACAGATATATTATTTCGACAGTATTTCGTCACCAAATTGATCACTTCATCAGTAGGTCCACCCACATACGAATCCCGACCCTCGCCTAGTGCCTACAAATACAGTCACCTTTTTTCCTAATATTTAGTGACATGGGATACTAGTGAAGGGATGAAAATTCTCTCATTTTATCGGCTAGCGCTTTTTCCAAATAAGGAACCCCAGAAAATCTGTTTTTTGCAAACAAACAATTTTTTGACTGACAGCGTATCGTCTAACTTCACAGAGTAGACGAGGAGCATTGGGAGTAACTTCGTGCAGTACTTTGCGATGCTAAGCCTACCAGTGGAGATTCAAGGAAGTAGACGCACTCCACGTACGAAAAAACGATTTGTTTATTTGCTTTGTATACAGAGATCTCCAAAATATTCACAATTGCACATCCACAAGGTAGTCCGTAATTTAAATTCAAAAAATTCTCCAGACAAAAACTCCATACTCAATCGTTAATGCCTCTATTGAATCAGGTTGACTCATTTTTGGGCCTCCTACTATCATTTACCTTTCCACTTTTCCAGAAAAAATTGAGAATTGTGGTGCCAACTCTTATTCTTAGCCATGAGTCGTCATGGTTTTATTGGTTTAAACTATTGAGAGATTCTAGAAATCGCTGCGACAGATATCTGATTTTAAGACAGAATCTGATTACAGAGAATAGAGAGGCAAGATGTAACCAGCTCTTCTTAATTGCATTCAAGTGCAACCGAATGCATGGCTAACTCCAACCCGGAATGGAAACACTCGAAAATTCGGCTAACGGCTTTCTGGGAGTACTCAGACACTTTCAAGGGCAACATACTTATCGGGTTTGGGAGTACGCCGCGAAAAGGACACATGAACACTTAGAAATGGCCCCGAAAACAACTGAACCAACTCACCACCATCCTCACGTCTCAGCCCAATGAAGCAGTAATCACCTTGACATAGAAGATTGTCGTCGCATGAATCGCGATCGCAAAAGCACTTCACTTGACCACCTTCTGGAACGAAAAGCATTTAGGCAAACGTACGGTGTACTTGTAAGAATCTACTGCCCTCTGGGCGCTCAAGAAACAGTAAAGATGGTTTCAATCGCTCTTCCCATTAGTCTTTATGTGTTGTTCTTTAACAACGTTGTTACTTGTTACTGGTTCCCTTAATTTGTTGTTCTTTTTGTTCACTTATAATGGACGTTCTCCTTTGTTTGTTGCATTTTTTTTGTGTTTTCTTCAGATGTTTATAACCACGTTTTAGGTAATTGCTTGGTTGTATTTGTTTTTATTGTTTTTTCCTTTCACATGTTCTTTAAGGGCATGTGATAAATTTAAAATTTATAGCATTCTAGAGATAAGAGAAAGCTAGTGGCCAAGCATGGTACTGGTATCCTACAAGAACTCGAGTAGATCGTTCTCAAAAAGCCTTCGAGTACTGTTTGCAGCTAAATTAGGAATCATAATCATAATCATAATTGGGATCCCACTGCCCTCTAGATGTTCACGGGACAGTAGAGTTGTAGAGTATATACAGTAGTACCTTATAGATTCTGCACGTCTCTGGAAAAATCCATTGTCGTGCACTTAACTATCTCTCAAGATCAACCCTGGCCACCAAAAGAATGAATAGGAATGCCTAAACGATATTCATCGAATTCCCTGCTTTCAAAGTTGAACCTGCGTCATTTTCTTACCGATATACTCGGTTATAGCTAATTTGCTGCTTTCTTACTTGACCCAAAGTGCTCCATAGCAGATTTGATATTTATGAGATTTCGTCAAACGTAAAGTTTTTCCAACAGAAATTTCAGTTAGTGGAAACAGGGTTTTCGGGAATATTTTGTACGTGGGTGACCGACGTCATCGGCTCCGCAGCGCCACCCCATTATGTCGTCGCTCTCCATGGAGGTCTCCCCTAACCCGTTTGCTGTGCTAGTTGTGAGGAACTCACGAGGCAAAAGTGGAGAGTACGATTGAAAATCATAGAGAGGGCTAGGAAATCAGCTCCCGTGAATTCTGTAGAGTAGGCATGGAACTAATGGTTCCGTTTCGCTCCGTCACTCAGGTAAAATTCCTAAGGATTAGACCTTATGTGAGCCTTTCCCCATCTTCGGGGCGAGAAAACGATACAGGAGGCTGAAGGGAGCAGATGTCAATAGTGTTGTTTAGATTTGCACTAGTATAGATAAATGTTTTTGTTTTGGTTTCGGTGAAGCCGTATGATAGATTACCGAGAGACACGAGAGAGAACCTTGAAGGAATCACTGGGGAACCGATTAAGTGGAGAAGACGACTTTTTTCTGGGCGAAAGGGATTCGTCACTAAACATAAACATCATTTGCATGAATGTGAACACGAAGACGGTAGAAGGCTAAAATGGAAAGGGGCGTTTAGTTCGATATAGTTAGGGATCGACAACATATACACACTTGAGGTGTATTTGAATAAATAAATAAATAAATAAATAAA